ACACTAAACTCCAGGTCTCAACCCTTTCCTACAACAATTCTACCATGCCCATAGTCTTTCCCATATCAGCTGATGGAAATTCCATCTTTCCAGTTAGCAAATCAAAAAGTTGTGAGTCTCTTTCAATCATATGTCACATCCAATCAATCAGGACATTTTGTTGTCTTTTCGTTTACAACAGATCAAGAATATATTCATTATCACCACTGCTATTCCTGGTCTGAATCAATATGTTCTTTCACTTGGATTATTGCAAAAACTTCCTTCCTATCTCCTTATTTCTCAACACTACAGAGCAAGTGATCCTTTCGAAATCTAACTCAGATTATGTCACTCTTCTGCTAAAAACTCTACAGAGGGTCTCATTTCATTCAGAGTGAAAGCCTCACAATGGCCTACTTTGGCCCTACGTGGTCCAGTCCCTGACATCATCTTCTATACTTGTCCCACTCACTCACTCTGCTCAGTCACACTGCAGACATATACTTGCCTTAAGGTTTTGCACTGGGTGTTGCCCCTTCTGTGATGGCCTTCGCCCAAATATCCAAATATAGTTTATGGCCCAATTGTCCAGTAAAAACTTGAACAAAGACTCTTTCATCTCCCTTGAGTCTTTGTTCAAGTATCACCATCTCAGTGAGGTCTACCCTGACCACTCTATTTAAAACTGCAACCCTCTCCTCATCCCATTATCCTGTTGCATTTTTCCCATAGCACCAATTGCCTTCTAATTCAGTCTATAATTTACCTTTTCATTCGGTTTATTGATTTGCCTCCCTTTCCCTAGGAAGATAGGGAGTTTTTGTCTGTTTTTATTTATTGATGGATTTCTAAGTGCCTAGCACCAAATATTTATTGAAAGACTGAATAAACACATATTGTAACATCTATATATACACATGTGTGTATCTTCACATAGACATGAAAAATTATATATAAACATTTTCAATGATATTGATGATACCTGTTTTGGAATATCATGTTGGGCACACTCTAAATATTTAGCATTTCAAGTTAAATCCAACAGGGGAGAAATTCAATACTGTTGATATATTTCAAGTATAAAACATACTCAGAAAATTTAGGTATTTAGCATCGGCTTAATAGATGAAGTAAGCCTGGAACAATGGTACACAAAAACAATGGTGTATAGGGCTCTGAATTTCAATGAGGACATTAAAGACATTGTCCTGCTCAATGATGGATTTTGATTCAAAGATGCTGCAATAGGCTGGAATGATAGTTTAAATCTATCAAAACAAACTTCAACTGTGAATATTAAATCTCATAAGAATGCTTGGCACTTAATTAGAATCATTCTTTCACCTATATTATTTGATTTGATTGCCACAATATCCTTTGAGTTGTGTGGCATTATCATTCCCCATTTACAAATGAGAAGAAAAAGAGTCATTATCATTCAAAGACATGATCAGGATCACACAAGTGACTAGTGCTAAATATCAGGTTTTAAGCTCAGATCTCCTGACTAAAGCTCTAGCTCTTCCCATAATACCCTGTAGTTTTGGTCAACTATTTTCTAGTAAAATGTCAGTTGCCCTATCTGGAAAGAAGATCACAAGATTGAAAACCAGTTTTTTCCACAGAAGTCCAAAGAGCTTTGGTTTACTTCAAATTTCAGTTAGGCTAACTGTGTGCAGATAGTCACATAAAGTTGAAAACAAAATAAGGCTTACATTATCAGAAGGGAGATAATAGTCTCACTTAGCTTTGCAACAGTGAGAGTGTTTGGAGAGTCATCTACCCAATTTTGCAAACGTACAAATATTGAGAAAATGAATTGACATAGTGAGTGCTTTATATGTGATAGACTTTATATTTATTAACTTAATATTTAAGTATCACTGACAAACTGGGGTTAGTTCTAGGAAAATAAGATGATAGTGTTGATGGGGGAGCCATGGTCGTGCGTGGTTAAAGTATTCGGCTGCTAAAGGAAAGGTTGGCAGTTCGAATCCACCAGCCACTCCTTGGAAACTCTATGGGGCAGTTCTACTCTGTCCTATAGGGTCGCTATGAATCAAAGTCGACTCCACAGCAATGGGTTTGCTTTTTCTGTTGTTGTTGTTCTTGGTGTCGAGGTGGCAATAGTTTGAGGATGGGCGTTGAGTTCTGAAAAGCATGTGGACTGAACTTGGGAAGACTGTAGGAGGAAACGATATTAATTTTCAAAACCAAACAACATTATCATGTGGAAGAAATACGAGGTTTATTTGTGGAATCTTAGATGTTAGAGAAAGGTTTAATATGTCAAAGTGACTGAGTCTGAGTCTATGACTGCTAAATTAGTGTGAGGCAGATACCTTTAGGAATAAAGAACTTGGGTAGGCTTATCAAAGGAGCCCTGGTGGCACAGTGGTGATTTGCTCGGCTGCTAACTGAAAGATCGTCGGTTGGAACCCACTGGCCACTCTGTGAGAGAAAGATGTGGTAGTCTGCTTCTGTAAAGATTTACAGCCTGGGAAACCCTATGGGGTGGTTCTTTTCTGTCCTATATTGTCGCTGTGGGTCAGAATTCGACTAAGCGGCAATGGGTTTAGTTTTTGGTTTAGGGGCGGTAGCAGCAGCCTGAGTGATGCAAGTGCTATTAGCATCTAGAATGTTGCCATTGTTAGTTACCCCCACCCCCGAGATACTCTGATGGCACAGTGGTTAAGTGCTTGGGCTGCTAACCAAAAGGTCTGCGATTCGAACCAACCACTGAAAGATGTGGTAGTCTGCTTCCATAAAGATTATAGCCTTGGAAACCCTATGGGGTAGTCCCACTCTGTCCTTATAGGGTCACTATAAGCCAGAATTGACTCGACAGCAAGGGTTGTTTTTGGTTTTGGTTTTTTAGTCAGGCCCCAGACACTTCAAAGAGGAAGAGGTATATCTTTGGCAGCCCCCACCCAGTCAGGCCTTCCTAGGCCCCCTTTTCCTCCTACTTCCCTCTAATGGTTCCATGCCCCTCCCAAGGCAGCCCACTTAGGCCTACTTGCTACAAAAATCCCCCATACCTACCATTAATCTCTTTTCTACCTTAGCCTCTGTAAAAATTTTTTAAAAAGTCAATTTTGTCAGTTTTTATTCAATCGTAAGAGACAAATGGGTGCCTGTTAAGCTTAACTATTTCTGGAGGCCTGATCACTCAAGCCAACAGGTTGGGGTTAACAATTTGGCATCCTATTTTTGAGAACCTGTCAACTCTTTATACATTTATTTTTATATTCCCTTTATTGAGAGTCATAGGGCATGCTGGATTGTTGGAGATAGATCCCAGATTCCACGGGGCAGCAGAGCTTCAGCTCGGGGGTTAGAGGAACTGCAGTATAGCCCCCAAATCAGCTGAGATTGGAAAGGAAAGATTCAAGATTAGGAGTGAGGGGAAAATGCAATAAGAAAAGAGAGGAAATGATCAGAAGTGCAAAAAAGTGGACTTGGACTCCAACGTGGGGAAAAATGACTTGGAAATAAGGAAGGAAACAGCTCCTCTCACAAGAAATACTATATGAAAGTGTTAGCTAAAAAAAAAACAAAAAACTCTACCCATATCACAAGACGGATGAGTTTGAAGATAACAAATATTGGACCCAGGCAAATGACAGAAGTCCAAAGGTAATAAATTGCACAGACTGGCATCTTTGAATTTGACCTCTTTCCTAAGAATGTTCCAGCTGTAGTTTAGACAACTGTTGTACGCTGGGTGACAGGAGACTGCATGGAGGTAGATATCCTGGTTTCAATGCATTTCATGCCTTTAACGGGAAACTGAATCCATTTTCTTCAGATGGGTACCCTTAGATCGTATAAAGGTAAGAACTGCCTCTCAGCATGAATAAGCTCCTCTCAGCAAGAGCAAAATAGAAATGCACATGGAAGTTAATTTGGCTTTATCTTTTGAAATGGCAGGTTTCTGGAAAAGAGAACAGGGAAGATTTTCGTAATTAAAACAAAACAAAAAATCATTTTTCCAACACTCTGTGAGACTGAATCCTGCTGAATAGGAAAAGCTTATGCAGGATGTGAAAGAGTTGCCCTTTTCGTGGGGAGGAAGGTACCAGGCATAGATGTTGGCCAGAAAACGGAGGGACATGCATTTCCCTACTAGCAGGCATCACTCAAGAAGCTGTAGCCTATATCTCTTCCCTGAAGCTGGGCACACACACCATATTCTAGAAGGGAAAAACAGCTGGAAGTTTCAGGGACTTATGCTTGAGCCTTGCAACAGGATGATTGCTCCCTTCAGAAACAACTCTTGGCAGACTTGAAAGCAGCGACATGAACAGACACGTACAGCAATGTTCGTTGGCATATACATACAGCAGAATATTGTTGTTGTTAGTTGCTGTCCAATTGTTTCCTACTCATGGCGACCCCATGTGTGCAGAGTACAACCGTTTCCATAGGGTTTTAAGGCCATGACCTTTCAGAAGCAGATGGCCTGGCCCGTGTTCCGAAGAGCCTCTGTATAGGTTCAGACTGCCAACCTTTTGGCTCGTAGTCAAGCGCTTAACTGTTTGCCCCACCCAGGGACTCTCAGTGGAATATTAACTCTGTCATAAAGAGAAATGAGACCCTGATCCATGCTATAATATGGACAAACCTTGAAAATGTGCTGACTGAAATAAGTCAATCACAAAAAACCAAATATTGTATGATCTCACTAATATGAAGTACCTAGAATAGGCAAACATACAGAGATCAGAGTTTAATAGTGGTTGCCAGGGATGGGAGGGAGAGAAAATGGGGGGAATTACTGGTTTGGAAGCATTGAGTTTTTGTTTATGGGGATGGAAAATTTGGTAGAGGATATTGGTGATAGTAGCACAACATGACTGATGTAATTGATCTCACTGAATTGTATGTATGGAAAATGTTGATTTGGCAAATGTTGTGTTATCTCTATTTTTACGACAAAGAGAAAACAGCTTGTCTTGATGGAAAGATCAGCACAAAATGGGGGATCTAATTGTGACAAACATTTCCAAGAGACTTACCGTTCTAGAAGGCATGATTCCAAACAAGGGGAACATCAAACCTGGCAGCAAAGCTGTTACCGACAGAGGCAAAGCTTCCGTGAGCCAAAATATGGCAACAACAAAGAGCGTGTAAGCACATTCTGCTTCCTGGAAAGAAGAAAGGCAAAACACAGGTGAAATAAGGAGGCTGGGAAAATCACATGCAAATCACAGCCACATTTCCACAGGAAGCCCTGTCACAGACAAGGTAAGAAGCTGCTCTGAAGACCTCTACACCTTTGAGTTGGGCAGAAAGAAATCATTTTTCAGAGGTTCTAAGGGCCAAGTTTCATAAACATGAAAAACAAGAGAGAAAAAAATTCTCAATCATTAAATTCCTTTCACGTTTCCTTCTAAGCAGATAACCATATATAGTCAATTTTCTTGCTGATACCAATGTATGCAGATGTTCATGCTCACTTTCATTTGGCCTATAAAACACACTCCCAGTTCTCTGGGAGTCCAGAAATTGCCAAGTCACCACCTTTCTCTGGGGCAGGGTGCACACATGGCTTTTAATTGCATTCCTCAGCGCCTGGTGGGGTGGGGCCCCTGCATACCTGCCTTCCTCCACTTCTAGCCAATCAGAGGATAATCAATCACGGCGGAAAACTTTTTGCTGGACATTTTTCTCAGAGAAAGAAAGACAATGCCAAGTTACATGCCATGGATGAGCCTGAATCCGGCCCCTAAGTGACATGGCCTTAAAGGTGAAGAAACTTCTGCCTTGCTTTTGAGAGAGATGGCTGAGTTTCTGCACTCTCCCAGGGAGTTGCAACAGGAATGAGACCCTTAATCAAATCAGTTGTTTTGCCGAGTATAAAACAATAGGTTTCTGTTGTAGGGCATTGTTCATTGATGGTTGAAATGTATCTATATATATGTCTTATATAAATAATTTTGGTATAAAATCACTTGGAACATACTGAGTCATCAATAAATGTTAGCATATATTTATGGCTTTATTTTGCTCTCACACTGCTTACTGTCTGTGAATTCTGATCTACATTTGAATAATTTACAAAAAATTGTTGGTTGTGTTTAATGAGGTCTTTTATTCCAGGTTTTCCCAGGGTGATACAATTTCTAGCTCTGCACCCTCAGATTCACATACCTTCGGTGAGTCCTCAGGCCTTGCTGTTATTAACACAGCCTCCCTACCCTTGCAGTTACTTTCTAAGAAATCCTTAACAAACCAGTATTATATCATAGTTTTATTGTGTTGTCTTTTTAAAGGAGAGAAAATAAAGGTGTTTAATGTCGCCAGTTTTATACAGTCTACCTCAATACTCCTTTTTCTTTTTTCCATTAATGGCAACTTTTATTTTTTATTTATTTTTTAAAATTTTTTAAATTGTACTTTAGATGAAGGTTTACAGAACAAATAGTTTCTCATTAAACAGTCAGTACACATATTGTTTTATGACATTGGTTAACAACCCCACGACATGCCAACACTCTCCCTTCTTGACCTTGAGGACCTTTTTTTTGGTGAAAATATACATAGCCAAAGTTACACCATTTTGAAAGTTTCTACATGTACAGTTCAGTGACATCGATTACATTCTTCCAGTTGTGCTGCTATTCTCACTATCCCTTTCCAAATTATTCCATCACCATTATCTTCAACTCACTGTCCCCTAGGCTTCCCATCAGGAGTTTTGCGTTGCTGTTGTCAATTTGATCTCATATAGATAATTCTTCTTTTTTTTTTTTTTTACCTTAGATGAAGGCTTGCAGAACAAATAGTTTCTCATTAAACAGTTAGTACACATATTGCCCTGTGACAATGGTTAACAACCCCACGACGTGTCAACACCATCCCCTTCTCAACCTTGGATTCCCTATGACCAGCTTTCCTTTCCCCTCCTGCCTTCTAGTCCTTGTCCCTGGACTGCTGTGTCTCATTAGTCCTGTTTTGTTTTATGAGGCTGTCCAAACCCCAGCTGAACGGTGAACTTCAGGAGGGGCTTCACCACTGAGCTAAAACGGGCCATACTCCCGGCGTTTCTCCAGTGTGTCAGGCCAATAAATCTCGTCTTTTTTTTGTGAGTTAGAATTCTGTTCTACATCCTTTTCCAGCTCTGTCCAGGACCCTCTATTGTGATCCCAGTAAGAGCAGTCAGTGGTGGTAGCCAGTCACCATCTAGCTGTACTGGACTAGGTCTGGTGGAGGCCGTGGTAGCCGTGGTCCATTAGTCCTTTGGACTGAGCTTTCCTTTGTATCTTGTTCTCTTCATTCTCCCTTGCTCCCGAAGGGGTGAGACCAGTGGAGTATCTTAGATGGCCACTCACAGGCTTTTAAAACCCCAGACGCTACTCACCAAGGTAGAATGTAGAACATTTTCTTTATAAAGTGTGTTATGCCAATTGAGCTAGCTGTTCCCAAGACCATAGTCCCCACAGCCCTCCGCCCAGCAATTCAGTCCCTCAGGGAGTTTGGAAGTGTCTATGGAGCTTCCATGACCTTTCCTTGTATAAGCTGTGCTGGCTTCCCCAGTAATGTGTACTTTCTTACCCTTCACCAAAGTTACCACTTGTCTATTTAGTCCCCCCCCAACCCC